GATCATGGCTTTTGGAATTTGCATAAGTTAACTTAAATGAGATAAGGATGAAAAAAAAAAACATCGAGGCCCTAACTGGGAATTTATGAAAAATATGTGTTTTCAAGGAACAACAGACCAATGAGCGTGGATTTTTTTAAATAATTTTTAAAGGACCAACGGACAAATAAGCAGGGTTTTTTAAACATATTTTTTCAAGGACCAACTGGCCAATTATCTTGGATTTTTTTAACATATTTTTTCAAGGACCAACAGGTCAATTAGCTTGGATTTTTTAAACACATTTTTTCAAGGAGCAGCAGACCAATAAGCGTGGATTTGTTTAACATATGTTTTCAAGGACCAACAGACCAATAATCGTGGATTTTTAATGGACAAACAGGACAATAATCGTGGATTTTTAAAAATAATTTTTTTTAAAGAGAAACAACCCATTATTCGTAGTTTTTAAAAAATAATCTTTTAAAGGACCAACACCCCAATAATCGTGTATTTTTAAAAATAATTTTTTAAAGGACCAACATCCCAATAATCGTGGATTTTTAAAAATAATTTTTTAAAGGAAAAACAGGCCAATAATCGTGGATTTTTAAAAATAATTTTTTAAAGGAAAAAACAGGCCAATAATCGTGGATTTTTAAATATAATTTTTTAAATGATCAACTCTTCAATAATCGTGGATTTTTAAAAATATTTTTTTAAAGGAAAAACACCCCAATAATCGTAGATTTTTAAAAATATTTTTTTAAAGGAAAAACACCCCAATAATCGTGGATTTTTAAAAATAATTTTTTAAAGGAAAAACAGGCCAATAATCGTGGATTTTTAAAAATAATTTTTTAAAGGACAAGCTGGCTAATAATCGTGGATATTTAAAAATAATTTTTTAAAGGAAAAACAGGCCAATAATCGTGGATATTTAAAAATATTTTTTTTAAGACAGCCCAATAATCGTGGGTTTTTAAAAAAAAATAATTTTTTAAAGGAAAAACAGGCCAATAATCGTGGATATTTAAAAATAATTTTTTTAAAGACAGCCCAATAATCGTGGATTTTTAAAAATATTTTTTTAAGGAAAAACAGGCCAAAATAATTTTTTAAAGGAAAAACAGGCCAATAATCGTGGATTTTTAAAAATATTTTTTAAAGACATCGTGGATTTTTAGAAAAATTTTTTTTAAAGACAAACAGCCCAATAATCGTGGATTTTTAAAAATAATTTTTAAATGAAAAACAGGCCAATAATCGTGGATTTTAAAAATAATTTTTTAAAGGAAAAACAGGCCAATAATCGTGGATTATTCGTAGTTTTTAAAAAATAATCTTTTAAAGGACCAACACCCCAATAATCGTGTATTTTTAAAAATAATTTTTTAAAGGACCAACATCCCAATAATCGTGGATTTTTAAAAATAATTTTTTAAAGGAAAAACAGGCCAATAATCGTGGATTTTTAAAAATAATTTTTTAATGGAAAAAACAGGCCAATAATCGTGGATTTTTAAATATAATTTTTTAAATGATCAACTCTTCAATAATCGTGGATTTTTAAAAATATTTTTTTAAAGGAAAAACACCCCAATAATCGTAGATTTTTAAAAATATTTTTTTAAAGGAAAAACACCCCAATAATCGTGGATTTTTAAAAATAATTTTTTAAAGGAAAAAACAGGCCAATAATCGTGGATTTTTAAAAATAATTTTTTAAAGGACAAGCTGGCTAATAATCGTGGATATTTAAAAATAATTTTTTAAAGGAAAAACAGGCCAATAATCGTGGATATTTAAAAATATTTTTTTTAAGACAGCCCAATAATCGTGGGTTTTTAAAAAAAAATAATTTTTTAAAGGAAAAACAGGCCAATAATCGTGGATATTTAAAAATAATTTTTTTAAAGACAGCCCAATAATCGTGGATTTTTAAAAATATTTTTTTAAGGAAAAACAGGCCAAAATAATTTTTTAAAGGAAAAACAGGCCAATAATCGTGGATTTTTAAAAATATTTTTTAAAGACATCGTGGATTTTTAGAAAAAATTTTTTTAAAGACAAACAGCCCAATAATCGAGGATTTTTAAAAATAATTTTTAAATGAAAAACAGGCCAATAATCGTGGATTTTAAAAATAATTTTTTAAAGGAAAAACAGGCCAATAATCGTGGATTTTAAAAATAATATTTTAAAGGAAAAACAGGCCAATAATCGTGGATTTTAAAAATAATTTTTTAAAGGAAAAACAGGTCAATAATCGTGGATTTTAAAAATAATTTTTTAAAGGAAAAACAGGACAATAATCGTGGATTTTTAAAAATAATTTTTTAAAGGAAAAAACAGGCCAATAATCGTGGATTTTTAAATATAATTTTTTAAATGATCAACTCTTCAATAATCGTGGATTTTTAAAAATATTTTTTTAAAGGAAAAACACCCCAATAATCGTGGATTTTTAAAAATATTTTTTTAAAGGAAAAACACCCCAATAATCGTGGATTTTTAAAAATAATTTTTTAAAGGAAAAAACAGGCCAATAATCGTGGATTTTTAAAAATAATTTTTTAAAGGACAAACTGGCTAATAATCGTGGATATTTAAAAATAATTTTTTAAAGGAAAAACAGGCCAATAATCGTGGATATTTAAAAATATTTTTTTTATGAGAGCCCAATAATCGTGAGTTTTTAAAAAAAATAATTTTTTAAAGGAAAAACAGGCCAATAATCTTGGATATTTAAAAATAATTTTTTTAAAGACAGCCCAATAATCGTGGATTTTTAAAAATATTTTTTTTAAGGAAAAACAGGCCAAAATAATTTTTTAAAGGAAAAACAGGCCAATAATTGTGGATTTTTAAAAATATTTTTTAAAGACATCGTGGATTTTTAGAAAAATTTTTTTTAAAGACAAACAGCCCAATAATCGTGGATTTTTAAAAATAATTTTTAAATGAAAAACAGGCCAATAATCGTGGATTTTAAAAATAATTTTTTAAAGGAAAAACAGGCCAATAATCGTGGATTTTAAAAATAATTTTTTAAAGGAAAAACAGGCCAATAATCGTGGATTTTAAAAATAATTTTTAAAGGAAAAACAGGCCAATAATCGTGGATTTTAAAAATAATTTTTTAAAGGAAAAACAGGCCAATAATCGTGGATTTTAAAAATAATTTTTTAAAGGAAAAACAGGCCAATAATCGTGGATTTTAAAAATAATTTTTTAAAGGAAAAACAGGCCAATAATCGTGGATTTTAAAAATAATTTTTTAAAGGAAAAACAGGCCAATAATTTTAATTGGATTTTAAAAATAATTTTTTAAAGGAAAAACAGGCCAATAATCGTTGATTTTGAAAAAAAATCGGAAATGTGGAGAAATTTTCTCAAGGCCTATTTGATACGTTGAGTTTTTAAGGAGAAGAAGTTCTGAGACTAGGTAATTTAAACAAAAAATATTTTTTCCAGGACCAATTGAGACATTTATTTTCAAAAGAATATATTTCCACTGCCCATTGTTCCCATTTGGGACGTTGATTTTTATACCCTCCAGCATAGTTTGGAGGTTATATTAAGTTTGTCATTCCGTTTGTAACACCTCGAACTATACATTTTAGACCCCCCAAAGAATATATATTCTTGATCAGCATTAAATTCTATGTCGATTTAACAATGTCCGTCTTCCGAACGACATGAAATAGATTGATAAAATTTTACTCAAATGTGTCTGTAGGACTTTTGGTATTGAAAATGAGGCATGTAGATGAGATTTAGATATAGCTCCCATATAACGGTACCTTCCGATATTTGGTATTTTGATGATTTTAGCGACATTACTCACCGGAATTGTTTCAAATTTGGTATTTGAAGTTCGAAATGGATACTACAGCTTAAGACAGAAAATTGTTTGTGCAGGTCCACGTCTTCGTATAGCCCCCATATAACGGTACCTCCCGATATTCGGTATTTAGATGATTTTACCGACATTATTCGCCGGAATTACAGAAAATTTTCTGTGCAGGTCCACATTTTGGTATATCCCTATATAATAGTATCTCCTTACATTGGTGAATTTAGCTAAATTATTCACTGATTTTTTTTAAGTTTCAAATTGGAATATTGTAATGGCTTATGACAAAAGTTGTCTATGCAGATCCACGTCGTCGTTTAGACCCTAATATAATGGCTACATCCGACATTTTTAAGATTTTAACAGAATTTTTCACGGATTTTATTTTTTGATGCCAAATTCGTTCCGAACGGTGGAGGGTATTCAAAGTTCGGCCTGGCCGAACTTACTGCTTTTTTTACTTGTTTTAGAACATTTAGGGTCTTTCTGAGTCTGAATTTCTTAAAAATATTTTCAAGATTTTTTTTAAATTATAGATCGTTTTAAGGTCCATCTATGAGGTTGTTTTTAAAATAATATTTTTAAGATTTATGATTTTTAAGAATTATGTTTCGAATAACCAAAAGATATGTCATTTTTTTTAGAAAATTATTTTCAAGGGCCCTATGATGCGTACATTTTATATAGAATATTTTTTCAAGGTCCATTTTAAATATATTATTTAATGGCCTATTAGTGACAAGATTATTAAAAAAAATATCTGCCCAAAAGCCACTTTAGACACGGAGTATTAAATGAATAATCTTTAAGGACCGTCAAAGAATAACATATCTAAAGAAATATTAAGACCTGATACGATTTTTTTTTTTTTTTTTTTTTTTTTTTTTTTTTTTTTGACAAAAAAAAGTTATTCAAGATTTTTACAATCTTTTTGAAATCAAACTTTTATAAACTCTTAAAAAGACAAATCATGAAAAAGTTTACCCCAAAACTCCCTCTTGACCCTCCTGAGAATAATTAAAAGGCCACCTACAAATACATTTCATAGAATCACCACCTAAATTACACCCCATTACTCATGGACTGACTTGAAAACAGCTAAAGTGTTTTATGTTGGGAAATTATTATGGACTTTCTTGTTTTGTTTTGAAAAATGTATTACCTGTTTTTGATGAGGTTTTGCTTTTGCCGCTTAATTCCTTGTTGTTGTGGTTGTTGTTGCTTTTTCCCCGATGATGCTGATGATGTTCTGGGGAAGGTGGAGGAAGAAGACAACGAGAATACTGACAATGTGGGTCATTGATCTGTGGTATTTGTGTGAGTGAGTGTTTGTCTTATTTCAATATTAATGATGGCATAGATAACATTGCAGACTTTTCCGAGCCGTTAGAAAAATGCCAAGACAAATTCTTCTTGTACTGGGATGCTGAGAATTGAGAATGTCGTTCTCCTAAGTAGAGTGGTTGATTTTTATTTTCGTTTTAGTTTTGGCAATAATTCAAGAAATTTTCAACAACAACTCATTTTTAGTGGTTGTAGTTTACCAGCCAAGTACAAGCACACACACAAACAAACATATTGTGGTAATAAAATGTTTGTTGTTTTTGTTATATTTTTCCACTATTTTTCGATGCCACAACAATCTGCAAACAAATACACTTTCACTTACTACATTTTTGCTGCTCTCAGGCACTCACTCTCTGTTTGGTTTTGTGAGTTCTCTTACTCCGTTACTTTAAATGGAGAAATGTAATGTAAAGCGGGAGAGAGAAATACGTAACACTGTTGTATGGGTTATTGTTTATGTTTTGTTTACATTGCCGTTAACATTCACAGGCACTGATTTCAAGCAAGAGAAAGAGTCTCTCAACAGATTTACTCTCTTTATTTGAGTTTAGTGCACTCCCATTGGCCAAAAACTGTTTCATTTACTGCTCTTGCTTCCCTTTGGTTGTGTGCAAAAAAAGGATGCTGTTTATTTTACAGCATCCTGCAAGAACTTTTTCCCTATGCCATTGTCGTTGCTGTTATTGTTGTCGTTGTTATTGGCCCACAGACTTGGTTTTGTTCTCGCTTTTGTTGTTGCTGCCGTTGCTTTTGTAGTTGTTGTTGTTGCCATTATAACTTGATTGTTTGTCATGTTTATTGACTTTTGTTTTTTGTTTTCTTCATATTCGTTGATTTCTGATGAGAATATGAATGGTAGTGAAGTTGCTAATGGAGATTCTCGCTTTTCATTATAAATTATTATATTTTTTGGGGGGAGATGTATGTTTTTTAATAATTTCTTTGTTTTTGTTTTTCTTCGAAAAATAAAAAAATTGACAACTACAGTGAAAGTCACTTAATTTTATTTCAGGAAACACTTTTCACAAATTACATTTTTCACTAACACAACACACACACACACTTAATTGTCCACACAATTTAGAGCTGTTTTACCGCCGGTTTTTTCCTATGAAAAAAAGAAAGAAAATAGGTTTAGCACATTTATTAAAGGAAATTATTGCATATTTTTAGGGTGTGGCAAGTGGTAGCCAAAGAAAAGTTTTGAAGTAAAATTTCTGGGGAATTTTTGAAGTGTATTTGTATCGTTAATTGAGTTTTTATATTTTGTTTTTATGGGAAATCATTATCGACGGAGACGTTATAATGTTACAAAGTAAACAGGCGTACTTTTTATACCCTCATCTGTGATATTTATTAAAGTGAATGAACATTCGGTGGGGAAAATACAACTTCGGCCTTCAAAAAAACTTAAAATCTGCAGGTATCCTTCTTAGGAAGCGGCTACAAAAAAGAGGAAAAATAGATATTTGGTGGAAACTCTTATAAAATATGAGGAAAAAATCATTGAATGAATTAGATATTTGGGGAAAGTAATTTAAAAAAATTGCGAAGAAAATCATTGAAATATGGGGACCACTTTTGACAATTTTTTTCGGAAAGTTTTTTTCTGCCGACTGCACACTGTGGTCTCATTGGTATTACAAAAATATACAAAGGCAATAATATAGTTAATCCTTACTCTTAGAAAACGCTGTGAAATTTGTGAAACATTAATCCAAAATATCTGTGCAAGATCAAGCATGGTGTGTAGTATTTAAGAGCTTTATAAACCCAATAGACTGTTTTGCAAAACTGCAAATGCTTGCTTTCTACAACAACATAACAACATGAAATAAGATTAGTACAAATAATAGTTGTAGTTTGATACACTTTGTGTAAATCGTCATCGGATAAGAAAGTGAAATAAAAAGTCATAAAAATAAAAATATCCAATTAATAGCAAAAAAAATGAAACCAGTAAGGAAACGTCAAAAACCCCGTATTTAGTAGAGCTCTAATAGCAAAAAAATTTTTAATCGTAAAATCGGATGTAGATGTATATCGAAGCTAAATAAAAATCTGAACCGATCTCGATAAAATTTGGCAGAAGTATTCTCGAGATGTATCTGATGTCCGGTATCAATTATCATTGATGAGTGACTTTAACACCAAATCAGATGAAACATATATATGGAAGCTATATCCCAATCTGAACCGATCACGATAAAATTTGGCAGAGGAACGTTTGAGCTCCATAAATTATCTGTTACCAAATATCATTTTTGTGGAGAGAAATTTGAAAATGTCATTGAAATGGTGTTTTTCTTTTGCATTCACATTCGTATCAACAGACCCCTTGAACGAATTCGATGAATCCAACCCCTCTGGTACCTCCTCCACAAAATTTTATAATTTGCGACAGCAAAGATAAAAAAATAAATGAAGCCAGTCCAAACTTTATATACCCTCCACCGCGCAGAAACACAATTATCGTCAAATCCATTGTCTCAAAATCCCTTTGTATTCCTTGATTTGGGTCTTCAAAACACCCATAATTGGGGAACTAGCCTTCTATAGGGGCTATCGACCTATAGAAATGTTTCTTCTCTTAAGGAGTTCACAACATTAAACTAGACCTGGAAAATGTACGCAGAACTTTGAAACTACTAAATTATTAGCACAATAAAGTGATCGACTGACTAAGTGACTCATCAGGACCCAGGCGAAGCTGTACAAAAGGGTTTTTGGAAATTCGTTCTATAAGTGTAGAAAAAGTACTAAAGTATATAAAATGTACTTATACGCGTATGTAAAGTACTAAATGGTACTAAATTTGATACTGAGTGAAGGGATAGGGCTGGAATACTGACATTTTGTATTGAGGTCTGGTTTTGGTTTTGGTCTTGGAAATGCGTTCTATACTTGTTCGAAAAGTATTAGCTAAAGGAATAGAGCTGACATAAAGTGCTATAGTTGTACTAAATGGTACAAAATTTGGTAATGGCGCAAATTAAAGAGCGGAATGGCTCGTGAGCTGAACATATCGCAATTTTCCATTCGGCAAATATTGAAAAATGAGCTCGTGGTAAAGCCATTGAAATTCCAAAAAGTTCAAGAACTTACACCGCAACAGAAAGAAAATTGACTCAAAAGAGTTAAAGAGTTGCTTCGCTTGGCCGAAAGTGTTGAACTGTCGAATTTGGTTTTCTCCGATGAGAAACCATTCGTTGTCCAGCAGTTTGTAAACAAACAAAATAATCGTGTTTACTCGGTTGGCCACCACAGCTCAAGCGTCGGCCATGGTGATGGTGTAGCCCGCCATAACAGCCAGTGGTCGCTCTCCGCTCGTATTAATCGGCCGTGGCATCAGAATAAATGCCGAATATTATCGTGAAAATATTCTGGAGGGTGTATTAAAACCTTGGGCATGCAAACATTTTGCCCGCAGACCTGGGACATACCAACAGGACTCAGCACCATCGCACTCAGCACGTGCCACCCAAGAATGGTTACAAAATGAGGTTCCTTGCCAATGGCCACCAAACTCTCCGGATACCAATCCGTTGGACTATTGTGTCTGGAGTATTTTGGAAAGCAAGGTTGGCACTAAAAAATACCAATGTGTCGATCACCTCAAGCATGCGCATCACTGGGAATGGGCCAAAATAGCGCAGAGCAACATTTGGGCAGCGTGTGACGGTTTCATTGGCCGTTTGAAGGTGAAAGGTGACCAATTCGAACAAATCTAAACTTATTCTAACATTTGATGCTATTTACGACATTATTTGCTTTCATTCAATGAAATTAAAAAAAAAAATGTAAAAATTATGGCGTTTGACTTTGTTGCAGTTTTTTTTATCTCACCTTGTATATCTATTATGTTTTATTGGGAAGGTAGCAGAAAGAGTGAACCAATATATTCGACAATAGCTTCAATAAAACCAATAGTGATGTCAAACATTTTGAAAAAATGGGCATTGTTTTCCACTTTTGGGAGATTTTGGATTATTCAAAATTTTGATATTCTTAGGGGAGGTACAAGAATGAGTGGGTCAATATTACACAATTTCAATATTTACCTATTGCTTATCTAAATATTACAATGTACCGAGTAAATTTGAACTACAACGAGTATTCTCTGCGCTCAAAATGAGATGTTCGTAAAATTGTGAACTTCCTTTGGTAACGTTTCCAGAACCAATGTGAGCCCATATGGCCCATCTCCGAACTCGCTCAAAATTTAGTAAACATATTAAGATGTACCAAGTTTGGAGTATATCGAATATTTTCTTGATATTCTGCGTATGCACACAGGAACGGTCATCGCTAGACTGACTCCACCTGAAATGGATTTCTCGAAATCGCTATTTTGATAAGACACATTATGTCCGTATCAAAAGAAGCACATGCCGTGTGTAATATGTTATTAACTGTTCATACAATGTCTCCAAACTTAGGTGAATTTCTCAAAAACTAGAACATATAGAGTTGCCCATATTCGACGGACCCAGCTGGCAACGCCATAACTATTGACAGAGATGTCACATCGCTTAATGACATACCGCGTTTGAAGCGTCAGTCCAAGCAGATTTTTACCATGAACCAATACACGCCACGCGAGCGCTCTGAAATTTACATTCAACAGAAGAAGTCAATTGTGAAAACTCAATGTGCCTTTAAAACATTAAAAAATGTGAGAAGTGTGCCTTCTAAGAACACCATTAAGCGTTTATACGAAAAATGTTCGACTGGTAAGGCTCTTTCTAATCCAAAGAGGCTATATAAAAGTCGACAAAGGCAATCGGCCGAGAATATCGCTGCCGTACGAGCCAGTGATTAGAGGTCCCCAAGAACATCCCAAAAATGCCGTTCTCAGCAGTTGGGCATGGCTCGGTCTACTTTACAACGGATTATTCGCATTGATTTGCATTTGTTCCCGTACAAAATTCAATTGACGCAAAGAATGTTGCTTGCGGACAAGCCTCGTCGATTGGAATGGACCCAAAGAGTCATCGAAATGGCCGAAGATGACGAGCAATTTTGGAACAAAATTATCATGTCCGATGAAGCCCATTTCACATTGAATGGGACCGTAAATAAGCAAAATTGCCGTTTTTACGCCACTGAAAATCCTCAGGAGATTCAAGAAGTGCCTCTTCATGACGAAAAAGTCACAGTTTGGTGCGGCGTTAGTGCGAAAACGGTCATTGGGCCGTTTTTCTTCCAAAATGAAAATGGCCATGCTGTTACCATCAATCAGGAGCGTTATCGCGACATGATGACCAATTTTGTGATGCCAATTATTCGTCGAAAGCGTATGAGGTAGTTCTGGTTTCAACAAGACGGCGCTTCACCGCACACAAGTCGCATAACAATCGATTTTCTGAAGAATTTGTTTCCGAGCCGTTTGATGTCGAAAAGTGGTGATTTGGAATGGCCACCGGGTTCGCCCGATTTGACGCCGCCTGACTTCTTCTTGTGGGGATATTTGAAGTCAAAGGTTTACGTTAACAAGCCAAGGACCGTAGAAGAGCTCAAGGACAACATTCGTGAAGAAATAGCCGCTATTCCGGCCGAAATGTTGGCAAAAACGATGGAAAATGCAGCAAAAAGGGCACAATACGTCATCAACGCCAGAGGCGGCCATTTGAGATATCATATTCAAAAATTGATGTAAACAAATCTACTTGGAACAAATTAAATGATTAACAATGACAACCGGAAAATTTTTATTTTTTTTCTTTGATTTAAAAAAAAAAAAAAAACATGGGTCCGTCGAATATGGGCAACCCTGTATTCAAAAAATTAGCAAAAATTGAGGAAGGACAAACCCGAAAACCTTAGAAATTGCAAATATCTCGAAAGATTTAGAAGAGAGCATGCAACACTTAAGCATCACAGCGACAATTTTTGGCTTGCTAAACCACTAAACTTCCTACATCCTCCAGGGCATACAAGAGTTCTTTACCTGACAACGAAAATCTCCCCAATTTCTTCCCACTCACCGAAAGGTGGTGTTCAATTCCGATCTCGATTAGCATATTGCCGATTTGTAAGCCAGTCGAGTCAAGTGGGTTTCTCACACGCTCGAGAATACTAAATGTCAATTTGCATGTCCTT